CCTCATGACACTGTCAGTGGGCTGGCCCACGTACAGGTGAACTCCCCGGTGTTCTTCCCAGTAAGGTTGGATACGCTACTGGACAGTGAAGAAATACTGGGGATTGATGAATTCTGCACGTGAGCACGTTTGATATCCTGAGCGAAAGGATTGTATAGGTGTAGAAATAGCCTATCTGTTCTGTATATATTATTTATGGTGATGGTGTACATATATATACTTAACGGTGGTGGAAAGATATTTAATACATTGACGAAAAGAACAGGGCTTGTTCATCCCCTCCTTTTTTTAATGCACTACATAGCCACTTTCTTGAAAGCGTACTACCGACTTGGGGTCGGATACTATTATTTTAGATCTACCATCAAAGAACCCGGTTGCGACCCATAGTGGCCGTGACATAATTGGCATCCCCAGCGGGATGTGACAGATTGTCCAGTGCGTTTGATAGGGGTGGTGAAGTAGTGCAACCCCCTGTGAATAATTCCCCTGTTCGTTATTTGTTAGGACGTTAAGTGTCCTGTGCGGCGCTCCGTGTGAAGAGTTAAGTGTTAAGTGCAGTGTTGCGTGCTCGTGCAGTGTATAGTGACAATATGGCAGAGAGAGAAACCATTAACAATCTAGACGATGTTCAGGAATTTCTGAACAAGGACTGTCTTGCTAGATTGAAGTATCTGGGAAAGCCGGAACTTGTGCTAATATGTGCCTATTTAGGAATCAAAGTACGTGAGAGTGATTCCCGTATTGAGGTCTTGTCGAAGGTTCATAAGCACTTAAAGGCAGAGGAGAAGCAGGAAAGCGAGGCACCAGGTACAAAGGAAAATGTAATGGCTTCCACTGAAAAGGAAGACAAAGGCGGTGACGGTGAGAGTGATGTGGGTGAACTGAATATAAGTTTTCTAACTCAAAATGCGTGCACTGGAGGTCAGTCGTGAGATAGTGGAAAAAATTAAAAATAGAACGGGAAATGAGAGAAAAGAAAATGGCTTTGAAAGAGAAGGAAATGGTAATGAAACGTTTGAATTAGAGCGAGAAAGAGAAGAAAGAAGAGAAAGAGAAGAGCGAGAAAGACAAAAAAAGAGAAGGAAAGACTACACGAGTTAGAAGTGCTACGATTAGGTGGTCGGAGGGAAACAAAGGAAACGAGTAGTTTCGATCCAGTGAGGAACATTAAGATGGTTCCCAAATTCAATGAAAAAGAAATCTCAAAGTTCTTCGCTGTCTTCGAGACGGTAGCCGCTTCATTAGATTGGCCACAGGAGAATTGGGCCATCATGATCCAGTCCGACCTGACAGGGAAGGCCCATACTCCACATTGTCGGTGGATGACTCCAGTGATTACGACGCTGTGAAGAAGGTGGTGTTGATGGCCCACCATGCAGTTGGTACCGGCAGCTTACAGGCAAAAGTTCCGAAACCTGAAGGTGTTCTCATTGATAACTGTTATAAAAATTGGTGGTGGGCTTGCTATGGGGGAACTGGTACTATTAAGGGGTAAGGGTAGTTAGAAAACAGAGTTATCCAATAGGGGAGAGTTAAAAGGCCCGGCCCCCAAAATAAACTATCCACAGTAATAATACTTGCTACTAGACCATGTCAGTCTAAGGGTTGATCAATGCGCTCCCACACAGGAAGAAGGGATACTCTGTTCTAAGGTACTTATTTATTAACCCCTTAACAACCCCCCATATAAACTCACACCAATAACAATAATAATAATTAATTTACCACACTATCTTACGTTAAAGCCTTGGTCCACGTAGGCAGGATACAAGGTTTACACAGAGAACAAGCTAGGGTAAAGTACTACTGGATAAGCACTGAAGCTGGATGCAGCTTAGGGTAGTGAGACCACGTGGGACCCTAATACAAAACACAACACTTAGGGGGTACCCAAAACACTGGCAAATACTACCCCCAGGTCTCACCAATATTTACTACCAGAGTAGGTACACTTAAAAACGCCCCGTACTTAACTTAATGGTACAGGAACTTCAGGTAAGGGAAATAAGTAAGAGGAGAAGGGAGGAGAGTAGGGGTGCAGCCACAGAGTAGGTCTCGTCCCCACGAACGCCAGCCAGAAGAAGAACGCTCCCAGCGACCAGCTCAGGCCTCCCGCATGTGGTGGTGCCGGGAAGAGCCTAATTGATCATGCAGCTAAGCACATTAAAGATCTTCCCCTATGCAACGTATTGTTACTTTACAAATGATTAAAGTATTAGTAAACATAGTTGGTGCCTATGTTATTATTTAATAATCAACCCCCAGCTCAATCTTTAAATGTTCTTTGAGAAACAAGAATACTCTTACGTCTGGCAGGGAAGATACAAACAATTGCCACTCGTGATGTGCTCAACTGTACTATAAGAAAGTTTAATAACTCAATTTTGACCTCTGGTTTCCACTGAAGAACCCAGGGTCGTAACAATAACAAACTGAATTTCCAGGGAGACATTCAAAATATATAAAAAAAGTTTCTAAAACTGTTGGCATTCTTTCTAAGATCAGATATTATGTACCTCGCCCTGCCCTGGTGACGGTCTATTACTATAATAATAATATAAATAATAATAAATGTTTATTTAGGTAAGGTACATACATACAAGAGATTTTACAAAGAATGATGGATTTATAGATAGGGCTAGTATATACAATGCCTAAAGCCACTATTACGCAAAGCGTTTCGGGCATGAAAACTCCCTCATCTATCCTTATCTCAATTATGGTATTTGTGCTTGGGGTTCTACTCACAAAATCATTTACGTTCTCTAATTAATCAAAACAAAGCTGCTATTAGGACAATATCTAACTCTGGCCCCAGAGAGCACTCGATACCCTTACTCAAATCTTTGAATATGTTAGATATTAAGTCACTGCACATCCTCACATGTGTACTCTATATATTTAAAACTCTTAACTGCAATGTCAATCCTGACCTTAGAAGCTTCCTAGAAGGTTGTAACAGAACTCATGGGCACCACACCAGAAACAAATACCTATTTGATATTCCAAGTGTGCGACTTAACAAAACTAGAAATGCTCTATACATCAAGGGACCCAGAATGTGGAATGGTCTCCCCGATCATGTCAAAGGCTGTACCTCTCTCAACCAGTTTAAGAGTAAAACTAAGTGCTACTTAATTAACTCCATGTAACCTACCTTACCCCCTATATTAGAGGGGCTGGTCCCAAACCTGCACACAGAAATAACATCACATGAGACCAGAAGACATGGCAGGATGTGCAGAATACCCCCGTTGAAAAACAGGTGCAACTGGTACTCTGAGAGAGAACTCTATCAACATCAGAGGTCCGAGACTGTTCAACACGCTTCCACTACACATAAGGGGCATAACTGGCCGACCCCTCACAGTGTTCAAGAGAGAACTGGATAAGCACCTCCAAAGGATACCTGATTAACCAGGCTGACTCATACGTCAGGCTGCGAGCAGCCGCGTCCAACAGCCTGGTTGATCAGTCCGGCAACCAGGAGGCCTGGTCGACGACCGGGCCGCGGGGACGTTAAGCCCCGGAAGCACCTCAAGGTAACCTCAAGGTAACCCCCTAAATGTCTACCAATGTCTTGCTTTTGTTAAACAATGCTGTTTGTTCACCAACTTGTACAATTGCTGATTTCTGCCATGTTCCCCCTTTTTTATTTTTTATTCATTTTTTCAACACAATTTACACCTAATTCTAATTACTATTAAGTTTTAGTCTAAGTGGGGTTCCCCCCCCCCCCACACCTTGCCCGAAACGCTATGCGTATATGTACTATGGCTTTAGGTATTGTATGTACTAGTTCTATCTATAAATCCAACATTATGTTTGTAAATCAACTATGTATGTACTTTTCCTGAATAAAAAATTATTATTTATTATTATTATAGAGACATCATGCCACCCCCCAAGGAAGAACGTGATTGGTGAAAGCACCTAGGCCTCTGAGACGCTACGCTGTGATTGGAGGGTTTAGGCACAGAGGGATCCTGCCCGACGCTGGCCCTCGCTTAGCGTGAGAATTCATTCTTGCCTGTGTCATTTGCCTGTACTGCACGTATTTTCCGTGGCTCGGCCAAGCTACGGAAATAATGTCTGCAGCGACATCTAAGTCACTCGGTATCTTAGTGCCTTCGTCCCGGGTCCGTTGAAAGAAGAATGCGGAGCCAAGGGGAGGGGGGGGTATATCGATTGAAGAGTGGAACTTAATAATGGAAATAGTCATTAAAAGAGAAAACTAAGAACCTGCTAATTAACTCTATATAACCCACCAGACAAAAATTATTCCAGAGCTAAGTCCACTCTCATTCCAGGAACGGTTGCGGGCCACAGGACTAACAACACTGTAAACCGGGCATGACGGCAGATCTCATTGAAACTTTTTAAGTACTGAACAAATTGGAGGATGTTGATCCAGACAATTTCTTCGAAAGGTCAGATGTAACACAAAAAAAGGAGCAACAGTTTCAAACTCAACAAGCCACAATGTAGGACTGAGAACAGGAGATGCTTTTTCACCCACAGGGTTATTAACTCATGGCTACATTAACTCAACCCTACCCGTAGAAGCCGCAAATGCCAAAACTCTGTTGAATTTTAAAATCAAACTGGAAAAAATAAAAAAAGGCAAATGGGGGACATTATACAAACCGCTGACTTCCTGTCCCCACCGAGGCCACTAAAAGTCTAAGTGGTCCTCATGTAAATTCAGGTAACCAACTTTACTTCCTAAATATCAACCTATATTTTGTTGTTATTGAACATTAATTACTGAACTTGTACTATATGTACATATAACTGCCGTGTAAAAATTTTATAGAAAATTGTATACCAATGTTTATTCTTTTTCAATTTTTAACTGCTTACTATTGAGAGAGGGGCAGTGTTTGACGTGATTGGGAAGGTCATTCAACATTTTGGGACCCATCTTTTGCAGTGCATTTCTAGTTTGGTTAAGTCGCACTCTTGGAATATCTTGGAACTTAGGTAAAGACCTCCCTTAGGAAATATAAAGTAGCCTTTTTTGTTACTGGATTTTTATTGAGTTGCATAACAGTGGTCAAACACTTCTCTACAATCCCGACTTAAAAGTGATATTAAATTTACCTAGACTGGCCAATGTAAAATTAACCTTCTGTAACTAAAAAAAACTAAGTATAACAAAATTCCATTCGTATGAGTTATTAAAAAAAATTCTTTGAAATTAACAAGGATAGCAAAATTTGTTATAAAATTCTTTTTCTAATATTATCAAGTAACAGTGTACTTGTTAATTACCCCTCCTGTATGTGTTAAGATATAATTCCAAAACCTAAGAAAGTAGTTCATAACTTGTCTGACCATGACACTATCAAACTATTCAAACAAAATAAATGAATAATATCTAGATTTGACACTTTAAATTCATCTGATAGTAAACTTAGTAACTAGGCAAATAACTAACCAAAAGCAAACATAGCACGAAAGCAGGACATATGTAGTAAATTTTTTGCAAACAAATAATTATTAAATTGTTAACATATTAAATGTCACACATTGGTTTTTATGTTGCTTCCAGATGTAAATAATATGCAAGGGTCATTCTGTATATTAATGTAGTAAAGTTGTTAGTTGTCTATGCTGATACTGTCAATGGCATCATTGAGCTGCACCAGCTGCAGCATGAGGTCTTGATCAGACAAAAGGTGAGCCACGGCCGCCAGAGTAAAGCGAAGATCTTCTGCCGTTCTCCCAGTCCCTACTGCCACTGCTTCTACAGCTGCCTCTATGTAATCCTCCTGAGATGTCTCGCCAAGGAAGTAGCTGAGAGGAACTTTAACATGATGAGGAGGGCCATCCATATGGTGGAAGAGTGTCACATAAGATCGGTGACAGTCGCGAAGAGGGAAGTACAGACCACAACGGAGGCGTCCAGTTGGCTCTCGAGCTACTAGCGTCTTGAAGGGGTACGCTAGGTTACGACGCTCTGCTACATCTATACCTGAGAGGAAGGGACGAGTCACGTGGATCAGGCTTACGTGTTGGTGAGCTGGCTTTCTCTCACGTTCCTCAGTAACTGTCCAAGCCACAAACGATGGATTGCCGGGCCAGAAACAGTAGTGGTAAGACCGCATTACTTGAGCCTTTGCTGTGCTAGCTCTAATGGTCCCAGACTGAGGAGCCAGACCGTCTTCCATGACAGTAATTGGCTCACCAACGTGGTAACCAGGGTCGAGTAGCACAACACCTGGACGACCACATACACGGATTCTGATACACAGAAGCACATGTTCCTTCTCACAGGTGAGAGGTGGAGCCTCTCCCGTGCAGTACCACTCCACGTTGTCCACTTCTTCCTCACATGACACCTGCAAACACAGTACACTTTTTATATTTTACTGTAGTAGTATATACAAAATATCTTCATAACTGCATATAAAATTTACATGATGCTTGTGTTTATCTCGTGCATTAACTTATGGAAAATCCTACAAATATTTCCAAACAGTAGCTTGGAAACTATTGAAGCTGTATGTCGCTACTGAAAACAAACTATTTCAATGTTAAGAAATATACAGCATGTCAGTAGATTTGCTCAATGGAGAAATAGTCAATAATGTGCCCATAATTCGACAAGTTTGGAGACTTAAAGAGAATAAAAATATAGTGTAGGAATTTTTACATAGTATTTTTAATTTCTATATTCCTCACTTGAAAACTTTTGGGCTCTATTTATTGTTACAAGCATGACAGTAATGTTGAGTTCTGCATATAAGTATATGTTGTTGTTTTAGATTGAGCTACTTGGAACTAAAATTTCCATGTAGCACAGGCTATGGTATAGGTGTATGTTGGCCTAACCTTATATATAGAGTCCTTGAGGCCAGGGTAGAGGGGCTCAAGGACAGAGAGTCTAGTGTCGAGGAGACAAGAGAGTCCGACGCAGGTGTGGCGGCCGGGCAGCAGAGGCGGGTCGTAGTCTCTGTAGAAGTCTTCCAGGGCTGGATATTCGCTCCGTGATGACACATACGCCTCGCTGAACCTTACAACCCACACAGTGTTAGTACATGATATTCTCAATTTCTAACAATGGTTAAAATTCAAACAATAAGTAATATGACTGTCAACTCAAAATTCTGAATCACATTATTGAGAATATTATGGGCTCTGAAAGGTCAATTTGCAGAAAACTGAATTGCAAAGAGTGCTCACATAATAAAGTTTGAGACAGTGTCATAGCAGTGGGAGGCGAGGATGTACTGGAGATGTTGGGTTACATGTGTGAGGAACCCCTCATACTGGTCCAAGCTGACCAAGTTCAACTCTGGTCGTTCACAGCCCCATTTTGGCAGCGGCAGAGCCCGCTCCACCGGCCACTCATCTTCGCCCCAGTCGCTGTCGTCGTCTCCGCCGCCAGTGGTCTCGTCAATAACCAGAGAGGCCTCTAGAGCAGTTGGCTCCCCTACGCTGGCCTCAGAGGAACCTGCACCACTGTGGTAACCGGATGACAATGACGACCACTCTTTGACTGTTGCCTCCACACTCTCCTGTGTCGCCTCCACATCTGTCTCAGGCTCACCCTCACTGATAAACAAATACACAATAGTCAGCATCTAACATAATTAAGTATTAATTTGAACACAACACATCGTTGCGGAACTACAGCGAGAATACAGCAATGGGCGAGTCAACAGATCTCAAGACTTCGACAATTGTGTGCGATAAACAGACTATTTTCTTTATTTAATTTTTGTTTGGCATTAACTTGCATGAGGCTCTATAAATGCTATTAAATTCCAATATTTCATAAAGCATTTATCTTGGGCTGATCCCCGACCAGTCTATGTCCATTCTGTACCCCAGACCTTTCTCCCCTGAAAAGTTGGGTGACGCTAGCCGCAAGCGTCTGGTCTCTTTCTTGGACAGGTAAATAAACATTCTCTCTTACAGTATAAAGTACTGGAGTGCATAGCTTACCTTGGGTTGTGAGAGGCGTGCAGTACAGGAGAGGACGTGTCCGGGTTGGCCCTGGCCTCTAGCGTGGTCCACAGGTGTTCCCGTGCGAGTCAACTGGGCCAGGTAACTCCTAGCCTCGCCCAACGGTCGACGTGGGGGGCAGCCGTCACCTCCTCCAGCGCCTCTCCCGCACGGGGGGAGACGCCCCCGCCCCGTAGTCCCCCCCCACCATGGCTGCTCTCTACACCTCTGTTGGCTGAACACATGCGTATTTTTAGTATAATACATCTAAAATTAAATAAACAATTATTATTAATTTACAAATAAAAATATATATAAAATGTCACGGCGCCTCCACCAAATTAAGAGTGTTTGAAGATCAAATATTTTATTTTGATCAACAACCCCGTCCAGAGTTGCATCATGCTCACTTGTATATCTTCAACCAGTTTACTTGAGTCTTCCACAGGAGCCTGGGTGTATACAGTGTAAACCACCAGATATACAGTGTGCTAAACCACCTCCAGCACTCAGAGAAGAGCTTGTGGAAATCACGTCCGCCCACAACTTTAAGGACAGGTTCGAGAATGATTATGAACGTCAGAATAGTTAGGCTAAACGTGCCAGGTTGAACAAGGCCAGTAGGCGGGGCATAGAGAGCTAGACCTCACTTTCCTGTAGACACTATTAGGTAAGCACGAGTTAGGGCGTCAGTACACCCCAGCAACACCATGTAGCTGGTGATGACAATCATTGTTGATGACAATCATTGTTGATGACAATCACTGATGATGACAATCACTGATGATGACAATCATTGATGATGACAATCACTGATGATGACAATCATTGATGATGGCAATCACTGATGATGACAATCATTGATGATGGCAATCACTGATGATGACAATCATTGATGATGGCAATCACTGATGATGACAATCATTGATGATGGCAATCACTGATGATGGCAATAATTGATGATGGCAATCACTGATGATGGCAATCATTGTTGATGACAATCATTGATGATGGCAATCATTGATGATGATATTCATTGATGATGATAATCATTGATGGTGGTTCGACATTACAGAGACGCTAGCCATTTAAAAGGTTTTGGAACATGCTCTTGCTGAACACCGACAACATGTTATCATACATACAGATTCGAGAACAGCCATTGAAACCTTGCAACAAGAACACATACGTGACAACATCCATCTGATCACAAATGTCATATCATTAATGCAAACACTCAAATGACAAGGCCGACGGGTACTTATCAACTGGGTAAAAAGTCATGTGGGAATAATAGGAAATGTCATTGCAGACGAAGCTGCAAAACTTGCAACTAAGAGAAGAAATGTAGACATTTACATACCACAGAGTCTATCATAGATTAAGAAAGTAATTAGAAACAGAGCAATGCAGAAAATGTACAGTGACCACAACACAGCAGTTGCAACATCAGGATCTGCGGCTTGGCATAAGAATTTTAGCCAACTACGAACCATTTACTCTGATGAAAGGGAGCAGTAGAACAACAGAAGTACACTTATATCGCATCAGGCTTAAACACCCATGTACATGGGAAATAGGCTTACAGGTTCCAAAAGATTGAATTGAAATTGAAATTGAAATAAGTTTATTGAGGTAAAATACACACAAAGGGATGAGGTAGCTCAAGCTATTCTCACCCCGTTCAGTACATCGTGTTAGTGCATACATAGACACATATCACAAACTATAAACATATTATCGAACATTCTGAGAGATAAACATATACATTTCATCCTTTACACAAGTAGTATGGTATCAGACGTTCACACAAATACTTTTATGACCTAAGTATACTGTAAAGACAATTTGCAAGAGACATGCAGATAATTCAACAAAAGATTACAGTCTTGGTGCAAAATTCTTATATCTCTCAAGAATATCATCAACCTTTCCGTTGTGACACATCCAGGCTATTTGTTCAGGCACAGTCCTTATCTCAGTGCTTCTATATACATTAATCAACGGACAATCAAGAACATAATGGGCTAGGGTGTGAGACCTTAACATACCACACCAAAAGATGAGAGGAAATGTCAGCACTGTGGAGAAATGCCCGACAGACCACTGGAACATTATCTAACACAGTGCACAGTTACAAACCCAATAAGATCTCAACTTGGATTCAACAGAGCAGAAGAAGTTGTTAAACACATCGGGCATAACCAGCCAAACACCAAAAACAACTGTAAGGAGTCATAACTTATGCAGTTTCCTCCCAAGACTACCATGTCGTAAGAAGGGAAAGCTAGGGAAGGCAGAGGAGGAGTTGGTCTGTTGATCCATCCATTACTACATATTGGTACTTTTTGGTGGTTCATTACTACATATTGGTACTTTCTGGGGGTCCACCACTACATATTGGTGCTTTCTGGTGGTCCACCACTACATATGGGTACTTTCTGGTGGTCCACCACTACATATTGGTGCTTTCTGGTGGTCCATCACTACATATTGGTGCTTTCTGGGGGTCCACCACTACATATTGGTGCTTTCTGGTGGTCCATCACTACATATTGGTACTTTCTGGGGGTCCACCACTACATATTGGTGCTTTCTGGTGGTCCATCACTACATATTGGTGCTTTCTGGTGGTCCATCACTACATATTGGTGCTTTCTGGTGGTCCATCACTACATATTGGTGCTTTCTGGTGGTCCACCACTACATATTGGTGCTTTCTGGGGGTCCACCACTACATATTGGTGCTTTCTGGTGGTCCACCACTACATATTGGTGCTTTCTGGGGGTCCACCACTACATATTGGTGCTTTCTGGTGGTCCATCACTACATATTGGTACTTTCTGGGGGTCCACCACTACATATTGGTGCTTTCTGGTGGTCCCTCACTACATATTGGTGCTTTCTGGGGGTCCACCACTACATATGGGTACTTTCTGGTGGTCCATCACTACATATTGGTGCTTTCTGGTGGTCCATCACTACATATTGGTGCTTTCTGGTGGTCCATCACTACATATGGGTACTTTCTGGTGGTCCATCACTACATATGGGTACTTTCTGGTGGTCCATCACTACATATGGGTACTTTCCACCAAAAGGTTACAAAAAGTACTTTCATTTTAGGACGGGTTATTCTATACTATAAATACCCTTGGTAGTAAACTACCAAGGCCGAGGCTGCTCTATACCATAAATACCCCTGGTGTAAACTATCGAGGCCGAGGTATACAATACCCCTGGTGTAAACTATGGAGGCCGAGGCCGAGGTACACAATACCCCTGGTGTAAACTATCGAGGCCGAGGCCGAGGTACACAATACCCCTGGTGTAAACTATAGAGGCAGAGCTGCCGCACCAACAATACCGACCGCTTAACATAACGGGCGAGAGGCCGTATATGGGGGTTTAAGGTGTCAACACACCATTAGCATGTTTCGCTAATGGTGTGTGTTCCCCTTAGGTAATGTGACACTGTAAGTGCCAGAATTAGGCCGAGAAATCGCAACTTACGGCAGGTGGGTGCCGGAAATGAATCCTCCCAATGGCGAACATTCCAACTGTCCCAGCTATGTGAAGGAGCTGGGACACTCTCCAGCACTATATATGTGTGTGTGTGGGTCCTGTTATCAATGACTTCGGAATGGGGAATATTGAGATACTTGAGCTCTGTAACTAGTTTGCCCGAAACGCTATGCGTACTAGTGGCTTTAGGTAGTGTATATACTATATCTTTAAATCCATCATTATGTATGTAACTCAATGGATGTACCTTTACCTGATTAAAGAAACTGAATCTGAATTCATACACTCACGAATATTGAAAGGCATTCCAGTGCTCTACGAAGAGCTTGCTAGTGTAGGGTAGTACAGTCGCATCTCATGTTTACTCCTGATTACATGTATGACTAACCGTCCTGTGAGGCGGGGATATAAGATAAACCCGGATCTTCAGGGCTTGAGTGGCGCTGCCCAATAAACTCGGCCCTCGGGGCAAAATTTACAAAATTTTAAATGCAGTGCTTCATAGAGAATAGGGTGGCAGCACAGTGCTGCGTGTACCTATATTTGGTTAATATAAAAAGGTAATAGACGAGGGTGTAATGGAAATGTAATGGAACACATTCGGGACCAAAGAGCCAAAGCTCATCCCCCGCAAGCACAACTAGGTGAGCACATATCCGGTGTGTGCCGGATATGTGGAGCAGCGTGCGGCGCGTATAGTGTGTCATACACCAGGGTGTATTGATCACGTGCAGCCCTAGTCACGCTGCTGCTGCTGCTGCTGCTGCTGCTGCTGCTGCTGCTGCTGCTGCTCAGGGCCACATGTGTGCACCACGCTGCTTCCTCCACCCTGCTGCTGCTGCTGCTCAGGGCCACATGTGTGCACCACGCTGCTTCCTCCACCCTCCTCCTGCTGCTTCAGACTCTCCGCCCGCTGTCATTCACAGAGAGTACACAACTTGCTGACCAACAACACACAACTTACTGACCAACAACACACAACTTACTGGCAGAAATTCAGTCTGGTAAAAATTGTCATGACTGGCACTTGGCAAAAAATGGTGACCTCGTTCTATAAGGTCAGAATGTCTTTCGTTATTGTGTTTGACCTTCTGAGTCACCACACGATGACTTGTTCGTTGTTAAGACTGACGTTAGTACCGTTCGTTAAGACTGACGTTAGTACCGTTCGTTGTTAAGACTGACGTTAGTACCGTTCGTTGTTAAGACTGACGTTAGTACCGTTCGTTGTTAAGACTGACGTTAGTATCGTTCAACGCCACTTTTAAGGTCTCACGCGTTAACCAACTTTAACTATATACTCGACAAAAAAATGACACTAATATTACATTCATGAATGCCATATTTTCATTCGTTTTAGAGCACATGGCATAATATACCTGAATGGAACACTGAAGATTTCTATCATTCACGAATACTAGAAATCATCATAGTCGACTAGATGTTTGCTAGTACAGGCTAGTAAACTGTCATGAAAACTTTTATCCCATGTATGGCACGCCATATCCTGCCAGATGGGAATATTAGCTCATCATAGCACTTTGTAACTCATCTATGTGAGTGTAGAAGCTCTCGCCTGTCTACGAAAACTTAACACAAACATTTGGGCATTTTGTAAACTGCGGGAAAAATGTTGGGTGGGGGGTGGGGGGTGGGGGAGGTTAGGACAGGAAGGACCAGAACTTCGTTAAACACAATAAACATTTAGAGATTTAGAATAATCAACATAACCTTTAGTTCCTTTAGTTTAACCTTCGAAGTTATGTACCTAACTCTGCTCTCATCTCTCTATATTATGCACTAATCTATCCCTAACTTAACTATGGTCCGCGTCCAACAGCCTGGTTGATCAGTCCGGCAACCAGGAGGCCTGGTCGACGACCGGGCCGCGGGGACGCTAAGCCCCGGAAGCACCTCAAGGTAACCTCAAGGTATGGTATCCGTGCATGGGGTTCAACCACTACAAACCACCTCAAGTCCATCATCACCCAGCAAAAATCTGCTATCAGAATAATAACAAATTCTGCTTTCAGACAACACTCGGCCCCCTTGTTTAACTCCCTAAACATGCTAAACATAATCTCACTCCACAAATTCTTTTTTTTTTTTTTTTTTTTTTTTTTGAGATATATACAAGAGTTGTTACATTCTTGTACAGCCACTAGTACGCGTAGCGTTTCGGGCAGGTCCCTGGAATACGATACCCTGCCGCGAAGAATTGTTTTTTCATCCAAGTACACATTTTACTGTTGCGTTAAACAGAGGCTACAGTTCAGGAATTGCGCCCAGTAAATCCTCCCCGGCCAGGATACGAACCCGGGTGTCAACTACATTTACAAAACCCTGTTCTTAAATGCAAATCCTGCTCTGAAACTCTCCCTGGACAGATGTAATAGGACCCATTATCAGCACACCAGAAATAAATATCCCCAGAGTCAAACTTAATCTGTGTAAACATTCTAT